AGCCAAGAAACACAAACAGATATTTTTGGAAAATCTGTTCACAATGCATATGAATAATTTAATGTGGAGACCATGTTTACTATGTCCAAATATACAGATAATGCAAAGTTAAACGTTATGTTGTGAGGAAGTTGTAATGTGGTTTCAGGTAAATCTGGGCAAGTTTAGTGAATAGGCTAAAACATGGTAGCTGCAATATAATGTGGAAAAATGTACCATTATCCACTTTGGTAGGAGGAACACATGTGCGGAGTATTTCCAAAATAGTGAGAGGCTGGAAACTGTAGATGTGCAAAGGGATCTAGGTGTCCTGATCAATAGGTCACCGAAGACTTACAAGCAGGTGCACCCAGCCTTCAGGAAGTGTAATAAAATGTGGGAGTGCCACTATATTTGTTCAACTGATCCTTACGTCAGGAATTTGGGAAGATTTGGTTCCAAGTGAAACACTAACTCTCAAATTTACACTCCCTTTGCAATCAAAAGAAAAGATTGTAATTTTGTCATTCTTTATGATGATAGAACACGTCCTGTTACCATTTCAATTGTTATTAGTCAGGACCTTGCTAAAATGTTTGTGTTATTCTATCTTATTTAACTACTTCCAGCTGCAGGACCCTTTCTGAAATCTTCATTCCCCTAGTTCTGGCCTCTTCCACGTCCCCAATTTCCTTTGCCCTACCATAGCTGGCCATATCTTCAATTGTCTCAGCCCCAAACTCTTGGAATTCCCATCGTAAACCTTACTCTGTCACCACCATCAGTATCTGATGCTTAGTTTATCCAAGATTGGAGTTGGCACAGATTGCAGGAGACCTGGTTATTGTTAAATATCACCCTTTGGTGATGATACAGCCTTTTCCCACATCAGTGGGAACACAGATTCATGGCCAGAACGAGGGTTCACGAAGGATTCTGCAGCTGGAGACATTTAAAGAGAGGGAATAACACAAAGCATTTTAGCAAGATCCTGATGACTAATAATTGAAATTGATTCATGCTGTCTTCACATTTTCCCTGTTTTGGTGTGTGCACGTTTCCACTCTGCTCGCTACAAACAATATTGTATCAATCACTTTCATCCACAAAATCACCCTTTTACCTCAAACAATTTTGCTTGCTTAAGTCTGCCTGCTGGTTATCAATACAGCCTTTGCTGATGTTAACTCCTCCCTTTACGATCTCCATAACACTTTGGTCTTGAATTAATTCCTCTTCATGTTTCTGCAATTACAATTCTCAGCTGGTTGATAGAAACTTAATTTCAAAAACTAACCCTCTCTCAGTAATTAGGTACACTTATTAAATATTACACTGTTAGACTTTAAAGGTTTGGGACCACAGTTATCTAATATAGACCGTTGATGTATTTCTAAAGAATTTTCAGATAGGTTGTTTGTTAAGAAGTAACGATTTGAATGTGTAACATTAGGTAATTAGATAAGTAAGATACAGTCCCTGTCAGATTGACATGGTGGAGGCAGTATCCTTGTCTTCAGCTGGAAGGGTCCATAGGTCTTCCTCCTCTCCTGGCCCATCATCCAACTAAAGAAGGCAGCTGTCTGGCAAGTGCTTCTATCTGATGAAAACTTGTTCAAATACCCTATCTCTAGTGGCTGGTATTTTACCCTATGTCAATCAATCATTTGAATCTTTCTTGCAGTGGAAATGGGATAGCTACTCAAAACAACAGACCTAAATTACCATTTTTTCTACCTCCAGCTCAAGGTCACCTTACATTTTGTAAAAACAGGTCTCTCTGGTTTTCCTGAACAACTTGGGGCACTGGTCATCAATGATCTGGTAACCTTGGTAACTATTTTCTTTAACTTGCCTTTTGTCCTTGTTTCTTCGAGGCTATTCATGTTTGGGAAAAAAAAAATAACTGCTGTGGCTGTTATAAGAAGTTGATACAATCTTATGCTCCTCAGAAAAAACAGAAAATTTTAGAAAAATGCAGTTTTAAAAGGATCATGATTTCTAACAGCCTGCTATATGATAATGTTCCTCCTGAGACTGAAGTACGCATTAAATAGTTTCATAGTGTCTTCAAACATAGCTATTTCTCATGAGTCCTTTGTCTGACCTACTGCCTGCAGTATACGCTACAGTGTAGAATGGTACAGGTGTTTTGCTTATTAGGCTGTTCTGCTGGCCCCAACATATTTCAGTGCGTCATGAATCTAGGACACTAATTCAACTAGTTTATTTGCACATTATGTTTGAAGCATTCTGGTAGAGCAAGGTTTTGTCCATGGCTTTTTATCCATGCTCCGTGTGCTTTTTTCATTATTATTAGTTTCTTCTGTTTTATTGTCATTTCTAGTGCTGTCCGTCACTGTGTGTGATTGTCACTTAGTTATAGCTGGGAGTGTGGTTAGAATCATAGAATCAAACCCGGGTCCCTGCACTGTGAGGCAGCAGTGCTAACCACTGAGCCACCGTGATGCCCCATAGAATCCAGTTCAGAGAGTTCAGAGAGTCTGCAGGAAGTCTCATCGTTGGTAAACATTGCATTTTGTTGAATATTACCTTCTACCTATTTACAGGATTAGATTTTACATGAGGTTTCTACATAGGACAAACACTGAATAGTTTTGGTAGTCAGGTGACTATAGCCAATGGGGCTGCTTTTACATTGGGCTCCATGCCTTTCCTTTATATTTGACAAAGTTTTATATTCAGACTCCATGAGATTGTGAATCCTTCTATACCTCTTGTCCTCTCAAAGGCTGTCTGTGTCAGATTAAAAGGCACCAAAACAGTTATGCAACAGCCACTCCAGCAAACTGAAAGTCAACTGACTGAGCCAAGTACTAGTCCATTCCCAGACCACTGTACAGTCCAGTATGCTCGTTTCCTCAATTTCCTTGAAGGCCTACCATATCCAATGCAACTCCCTTTTGCATTCATTAAGTGTCTCAATGAACGTGACTAATTACTCCCTCAGTCATCTCATCTCCTCTGTTACTCATTTGACCTAGTGTGTGTGTAACTTTGCATGTGTGTGTAAGCCCTTCGCCTCAATTAAAATTTTAAGAAAAGGACACATGCAACTGTACTTAAATAAAGAATTGCATTTATATACTGCCTGTAGCATTTTTGTGATGTTCATTGAAAGTAAATATTTGTCAGGACAGAAGAAACTCTCTTTCAGAGATCTCAGGGAAGGGAGTGTTGAATTTCTAAGCCAAGTTGCTATTAAAAGGAAAAGGTTGTTGTGCATCTTATTCAGGTGAATAAGTCCCTGGTCCTGATGGGATCTATCCCAGAATATTGAGGAAGGCAAGAGAATAAATTGCTGGAGCATTGACAGACATCTTTGGTATCCATGGACTTCAGTAAAGCTTTTGACAAGATCCTTCATGGCAGACTGGTATAAAAAGTGTAGTCATTTGGTATCAGGGGTGAGCTGGCAAGATGGATACAGAACTGATTTAGTCATAGGAGGCAGAAGGTGGCGGGGAAGAATGTTGTTTGGAATGGAGGGTTGTGACTGGTGGTGTTCCATAGGGATAAGTGCTGGGGCCTCTGCTGTTTGTGATCTATATACATGATTTGGAGAAAAATGTAGCTGGTCTAATTAGTAAATTTGCGACTGATACAAAGATTAGTGGAGTTGCAGATAGTGAGAAGGATTGTCAGAGGATATAGCAGGATATAGATCAGTTGGAGGTATAGGCAGAAAAATAGCAAATGGAGTTTAATCCAGAAAAATATGAGCTGATGCATTTTGGAAGTACAGGTGGAAATTGTACAGTGAATGGCAGAACACTTAGTATTATTGATATGCAGAGGAACCTGGGTGTGTAGGTCCACAGATCACTGAAGACAGCAGCGCAAGTAGATAAGGTAGTAAGAAAAACCTATGGCACGCTTGTCTTCATTGGAAAGGGCATTGAGCATAAGGATAGATGCTGCAACTTTATAGAACTTTAGTTAGGCCACACTTGGAATATTGTGTACAGATTTGGTCACCACACTACCAGAAGGTTGTGGGTGCTTTGGACAGGGTACAGAAAAGGTTTAGCAAGAGATTGCCTGGTATGGGGGAGTTTAGCTATAAAGAAAGGTTAGATAGCCTGGGTTTGTTTTCGCTGAAACACAGAAGGTTGAGGGGCGACTTGATAGAAGTTTATAAGATTATGAATGGCATGGATAGAGTCGAAAGTATGAGGCTTTTTCCCAGGGTGGAAGGGTCAATAACTAGGGGGCATATGTTCAAGGTGTGGGAAAAGTTTAAAAGAGATGTGCGAGGCATGTTTTTCACACAAAGGTTAGTGAGTGCCTGGAATACTCTGCCAGAGGAGGTAATGGAAGCAGACACAAAGCAGCATTCAAGAAGCACCTGAATGAATACATGAATAGGAAGGGAATAGAGGGATATGGATCCTGTAAGTGAAAATTGTTTTAATATGGAAAGGCAAATTGTGTTAGCGCAGGCTTGGAGGGCCAAAGGGCCTGTTCCTGTGTTGTATCGTTCTTTGTTATTTGTTTTTCTTTGTTCTTCAAAATAGTGCCATGGTCCTTATATAATCACTCAAGGCCTTCCTATTAGCCAACCAGCACTTCTGACAGTTCAGCATTCCCTCACTATTACAGCTGAATGTCGACTTTGAATATTGTCCCAGGAATGAGACATGAACCCATAGCCTTCTGAAGTAGAGGTGACAACACAACCAACTGAACCACAGCTGACACACTTTGTCAATCCTCTGCTGACTAAATCACTGCTGCCCTCCACACCATTATTGGTCATTTGCTTTTGTTGTTTATTTGCCCCGTTTCCTGTCTCTTTGCTTGTTTCAAAGATGTTGATCATCTGCTCTGATGAAAAGTCATTGTCTCTGAAATATCGGGGTCAGTATTTTAAACTCCACATTTGCCCGAAAGGTTAAGGTCAAAGAAGGAGGAGGTTAAAAAATCAAAAATCATGAAACATGTCCCCTGTGCACTCTGTCATGCTCAATTATTATTTTTATATATCATAGAATCACTACCGTGTAGAAACAGGCCATTCGGTCCAACAAGTCCAAACCGACCATGTGGAAGAATATGCGTCCTGTCTGTATCTCTTTCTCTCTCTCTCTCTCTCTCTCTCTGTAGAGAGTAAGGGTCTTCTGTAGATCTCACAGATACCTCTCCACAGTTTACTCAAACCTGCAAAAGGTATACACTTATTCAGAACGATACCCAAATAACCTGAATGATAAAATTCATAAAAGTCACTCAAACTACAATCACATTCAAATTATAAACTCTAGACAGTCTACAATGCTCAAACCCTTTTGCAACTTAAAACATGCAACACAGTCATTGCAAAGCTGCTGTATCCGGAACATTCACCAGAATCAGGATCGTTATCCCCGGTAACCCCAAATCTTCCTTTTTACCCTAAACTTTTCATAAAGACTGTATGACCTGATCAGTGTAAGGCAGCATTGAGTTTTGAAAGAGAAATGTTGTTTATACAATGAGAGAGCTCTTTACCCAGCATCCATAGCAGCAAGGAAACCACTCTATCTTTGCAATTAAACGTTTGCACTGACTGTGTACCAAGGATTGAGGACTTTCTCTCTTGCTGAGAATGCTGGGTAAAGAATATGCCATTGTACTGGAAGTCTTTACTGTCCATTTGGCGATCATTTTGATGATAAAGATACCTGGAAACAGAAGCTTACCCGATGCCAGCCTCTGAGACATCTGGAATACAAAAGCACTTTCCTGTGGAGCCGGGGAGAACAAAGAACGCTCCTCCCCAGGATCACAGCAGTTGTGTTCAGTCTTCTAATCTTGTAACTCACTGTAACAATCACCCCAAGCCTTCTGCTTTGATTCTGTTGGCACCAAAGGTTGGCACGTGTATTTAAATAACATTTATTTAAACTGAAAGTGGTTAATAGTGGTAATATCACTAGACTAGTAATCCATAGGTCTAGGTTAATGATCAAATTTTAAATTCCACCTTGGTAGCTGGTGAAATTTAAATTAAAAATCTGGAATTGATAACTAGTCTCAGTAATGGTGACCATGTAACTGTTGCTGATTGACATCTGGCTCACTAATATGTCCTTTTGGGAGGGAAATCTGTTGTTCTCTAGTCTGGCATAATGTAACTCCATACCATCATCAATGTAATTGACTGTTAACTGCTCTTTGAGGTGATCTAAAAGACATCAATTCAAAAGACAATTAGGTACGAGTAACAAATACCTCGACAGTGACACCTCATCCCATGAAAAATATGATAGTTTGATAATGACCAGATAATCAGTTCCTATTGTAATGTTCATTGAGGAATAGACATCAGCCAAGACACTGGGAATAATTCTGTTATTCTTCAAATTAGTGCCATGAGATCTTTTACATTCTCGTGAGCAGGCAAATGTAATGCTTCATCCAAATCCCACCCAAAATTACCTGAGACTTATCTTCGGTTGTCTGTCTAATTTGATCTGTAGTTTAGATGCTGGTTACATGAGAAACAGGATTAGACAGAGGAGCTTTTGGGCCTTGATGGGGAGAATAGAGGTTTGTCAGTGTTTGTGAGCTAACTTACACATCATTGAGAAAAAGCATACATGAATTTCGTCAGTACAGGAATTTCCAAAGTGCAATTTGTTGCTATGAAAGGCAACCTGATGTTTCACAAAGCTCCAGAAAGTAATTTTTGCTTGAATTGAAATACAATCATTTATAAATGTCCTTCCTGGTCTGCTGTAGTCATGTGACCTGTATTTTGACCCACATGCTAACTGTTAAGCATGTAACAACTTCCACTGGTTTTGTGATTTATTTCAATGAGCTTAAAAATGCACAGAGAAATATTCACCGCAAGTCTATTCAAAATGACCTCAATCATTAGGTAATGAGTTCACCAATCACAAAGGAAACCATGGCAGCTACTTCAGCCCAACGCATCATAGCAAAAGATAAGGCTGAAGCATTCACAACAATCTTCAGCCAAAAAAGTGACAAGTGGGTAATCCATCTTGGCCTCTTCCAGTGGTCCGCAGCATCACAGATGCCAGTCTTCAGCCAAATCAATTCGCTTCATGTGATATTAAAAATGGCTAAAGGTACTGGATACTGCAAAGGTTATGCATCCTGACAACATTCCGGCAATAGTACTGAAGATGTATGCTCCAGAACTCACTGCACCCCTAGCTAAGCTGTTCCAATATAGCTACAACCCTGGGATCCACCTGAAAATGTGGAAGTTTGCCCAGGTATGTTCTGTACACACAAAGGCAAGACAAGTCAAACCCGGGCAATTACTGTTCCATCAATCTACTCTTGATCATCTGCAAAGTGATGGAAAGTGTCATCCACAGTGCTATTGAGCAGTTTAGCAACAACCTGTCAACTGATGTTCAGTTCATGTACCAACAAGACCTCTCTTTTCCTGACCCGCATTACAGTTCAAACGTGGGCAAAAGAGCTGAAATCCAGAGTGAGATGAGAGTGACAGCCCTTGACATCAAGACTGCATTTGACTGAGTGTTACATCAAGGGGCCCTAACAAAACTGGAGTCCATGAGAATCTGAGAAGATATTCTCTGATAGCTGGAGGTTGTGGTTGTTGGAGGTCAGTCATCTCAGCTCCAGAACTTTTCTGCAAGAGTTCCACAGGGTAGTGTTCTAAGCCCAAACATCCTCAGTTATTTCATCAATAACCTTCATCAATATTTAAGGTCAGAAATGGAGATGTTTGCTGACAATTGCGCAATGTTCAGCACCATTCGCGTCTCCTCAGATACCGAAGTCCATGTCTAAATGCAACAAGACCTGGACAATATCCAGGCTTGGGATGAAAAAGTGGCAAGTAACATTTGTAACATTTATAGCAAGCAAGGGAGAAACTAGCCATCATCCTGGACATTGAATTGCATTACCTTTACTGAATCCTCCACTACCAACATCTTGGGAGTTACCATTGACAGAAACTGAACTAAACTAGCCATATACATATTTTGGCTACAAGGGCAGTTGCAGGATAGGAATTCTGCAGCAAGTAACTCACCTCTTTCCTCCCCAAAGCCTGTTCACCATCTACAAGTCACAACTCAGGTGTGTGATGCAATACTCCCCACTTGCCTGAATGTGTACAGCTTCAACAACACTCAAGATATTTCACACCATGCAAGAAAAAGCAGTCCACTTTATTCGCACCACATCCACAACCATCCACCTCTCCACCACTGCTGCTCAGTAGCAGCAGTGTGTAATATCTACAAGCTGCACAGCAGAAATTCACTAAGAATCCTTAGAAAGAACCTTGCAAACCCATGACCTCTACCATCTAGAAGGGCAAGGGCAGCAGATACATGGGAACACCACCACCTGCAAACTCCCTCCAACCTACTCATGATCCTGATTTGGAAATATATTACTGTTCCTTCACCGTCACGGGATCAAAATCCTAGATGTCCTTCACTAACAGCCCTGCTGGTCTAACTATAGTCAGTGAACTGCAGTGGTTCAAGAATGTAGCTCACCAGCTTCTCAAGGACAATTAATGGTGGTTAATGAATGCTGGCCCAGACAACAATGTCCACTTCTGATGAATGAATAAGCAAAAATAAACTTCAGCAATAACTAATGCTGCCAAGTCTGCTGGGACCTATTCCTGGTGGTTTAAAACATAACTTCCAAGCACCTCATCCCAGTCCAACGGTATTTTTGTTCCCCATTCCAATATTTTTACAACTGGTAAACCAAAGCATTCAGAAAATAGCAAGTGAAATTGCTTCTAGATTTCTCACACCAGTTTCCTAGTAGAATAACCTCTAATTTCTCATTACAGAAAATTCTAGATGTCATCAATGTAATTTGTCAAGATTACAAAAAAAGTCATATAAATTCCTGTCCTCTCTTCATGCCCGTCTTACAGGTGGATGGTTTTAACTGAGACCCCGATTGCCTTCTGAAGTGGATGCAAAAGATCCCACAACACTATCTGAAGTGAAGCAGGGGAGTTCTTTCTTATGATCTAGCCAATATTAAACAGAGCCAATATGTTATCCAGGTCAATATCACATTCATGTTCATGAAAGTCTGTTATGTTTACTTTGACTGCTGAATCCCCTATACTTCCAGCAGTGACTATACTTCAAAGTCACTTCATTAGACAAAAGAACTTTGCAATGTCCTGAGGTTGTGAAATACCTTAGAAATGTAAGCCTTTCTTCCACAACACTGTGGCTTGCTCTTTAATCAAAAAAAATTAAAACACATAATAAAAATCAAAAGCACTGCAGATGCTGTAAATCAGGAACAAAAACAAAGTTGCTGGAAAAGCTCAGCAGGTCTGGCAGCATCTGTGAAGGACAAAATAGAGTTAACATTTCAGGTTCGGTGACCCTTAAGGGTCACCGGACCCGAAACGTTAACTCTGTTTTCTCCTTCATAGATGCTATCAAAATTAAAACACATGCCTTGTAGAAAAGTTTGAAAGATCTGGAGTGAACAGTTTTAATTACATTTATGAAAGAGGCTATAATTTGTCCTCCTCGTGCCATATTTGCTCGATTATCTTGACCCAAAATTACAAAATACCACATTGCCTGCAGTAGGAATCTTTGTCCACTAGGTGGGAGCATCCACATTTGAAAGCTGACTTGATGGCAAGATCATTTGTCTCTAACTGTATTTGTGCAATAACTTATATTTATACAGCGCCTTTAATGTGATCAAACATCCAAAAACGGTTTTACATGGAGATTTTAAATCAAAATATGACACTAAACTACGTAAGATAGTATTAGATCAGATGACCAAAAGTTTGGCGAAAGAGATCATTCTTAACAAATGTCTGAAAGGGGATAAGAGATAGAGAGAGGGTGAGGTTAGGGAGGGTATTTCAGAGTCTGGAGCCCAGGTAGCTAAGATGTGCCACCAGTGGCGGAGTGATTAAAATCAGAGTTGCAGAATAGACCAGAAATAGAGCACAGTTACCATGGAGATTTGTGGGCTGCTAGGAAATTGCAGACATTGGAAGGGTCAAAGCCAATGAGGAACTTGAAAAGAAGGACGGGAATTATAAAAGCAACATTTGCTTAATTGGGAGCTAATGTAGGTAAATGAATACGGGATGATCTGAGCTTGCTGCAATTTAAGGATTCTAGGTAGGCACAAGTTTGCATTTACAGAATGTGAGATACCAACCTGGAGTTCAAATTATAGATGAGATTTTTCAAAGGAACCAGAAGTAAAAGATCACTTTCAGTTACGTTTCATTGTACTTTGAGATTTCTCCTTGTCCAACGCCTGCATTGGAAACATCTAACAACTTTGAATGTTAAACCGAAGAGCTTTCCAGATGTGTCAGCTTTAGCTGTCACTCTCAACTTTAACTCCAGATTTTTCTGGGTTCATGTCCTATTGTGGGACGCTTTAGATGGGACTAAATTTGCCACAGAAAGTTAAATCAATTAATTTGAGGTCCAAATCCTCTTTCAGTTATGTAAGTGTTAAGTACTGCTAATTAGCCTCGCTGCCACTGAAAACTAGCTGTTAAAGTATGGATCATTTTTCTCAGGTTTTTGTTTGATGCTGTGATTTTTTTGAAAATGGTAAATGTAACTTTGTAGTATGCTTTATCTTTTTTCTTACATTTGTTTCCCTGACTTAATCCAATCTTTCTTTCCCTAATTTTATTGAGTCCCCATCTTTTCATACCTGATTTGACATTACATTCACTTTAATTTGAAGAGGTGCTTTCCCTGTTCATTCAGATCCCAGATGCCTTGCTTCCCTCACTGCAACAATGTGGACACAACACATGTAGCAAGTTGCCACACTAAATAGTTTAGTAGCTAAATAGCCAAATCTGACCAATGAAATTAGGTGCTCTGGGACAGATACTTGAAAATAATTCTGCCATTAACTCTTTAATCCAGATACAACAGTCAAATGTCCAAACTAATACATTTTTAACAATGGGATAATGATTTAGGAAACTAAATCAATATCTTGTGATCTTTGCAAATGGAGTCAAACACAGAAATCCTGTTGTAGACAATTGATCAAATTCTGCCACCTGCATCACAAGATAATTAGTGCCTGAATTCAAATAGACGGGATTCATTCACTTAATCCTAAAAAGAATCCATTGAAGTTTTTGTTAAAAGTAGTTATCCAATTGAATCCCAAGCATTTAGTATAAAATGGAAATCTACATGACAGCTTAGCTAGAAGCCAGTTCCTGTTACCTTACTAAAAACTCACTGTTTGTCTCAATTGTTTAGTTCACAGACCCATCCATGTTCCATTAATCTGAGGATTTATCCAAATTCTGAAAGAAGGCTTTCTCCTTATTGGCCAATCTTTCCAGTATACTCCCAGCTCCCAGAACAATAGAAGTGCTTCCCTTGATTGAAATATCCAACTGACTGTCCCAAAGAGTTTGATTGGAGTGCTTTATGTGTTAATTGTGCAGCTGAGATACTAATTGAACATTCATTTTGTCCCTTTGCTGTTCATCCTGATTGAAGCAATTTTTTTAAAAAAGTTAGTTCTTGTGATGTGGGCTGCATTGGCTAGGCTAGTAGTCCATCCCTATTTTGGAAGGGTGGTGCCAGTCCTACTCCAGAAACTTGATGTCGATTCTTGAAGTATAGTTCTGATGAAATGTTCGATGTGCTTTCTCTTAGATATTGTGAACTTGTCCACTTTGGCAGGAAGAACAGAGAAGGAGCTTATTATTTAAATAGGGAGAGAGAGGAACAGAGGGATGTGGGTGTGCTGGTGCATTTAATCACAAAATGAGGATGCAAGTACACTCAATGATTAAGAAGGCAAACAGAATGTTGTGGTTTATTGCAAGTGGAATGGAATATAAAAGTAGGGAAGTATTGGTGCATTTCTATGGAATATAAAAGTAGGGAAGTATTGGTGCATTTCTATAGAATGCTGGTGAGGTCACATCTGGAGTACTGTGTCCAGTTTTGGTCTCCCTATTTCAGAAAGGATATTAAATGCATTAGAAGGAGTTCAGAGCAAGTTCCCTCGACTGCTACTGAGTTGAGGGATTATCTATTGAGGAAAGATTGGACAGGCTGCACTTGTATCATTCTTGTTTTGAAGAATGGGAGGTGTTCTTATTGAAACATATGAGAAGTGACTTGACTGAGTGGATGCTGAAAAGATGTTTTTTTTCATGGGAGAGACTAAGACTAAGGGACACAGTTTAAAAATAAGGGGTCTCCTGTTTGAGATGGAGATGATGAGGTGAATTTTTTTCTCTCGGAAGACCTGAGTCTTGGACCTCTCTTCCTCAAGGAGTGGTGAAGGCTGATCCATTGAAGATTTTTAAGGCAGAGATGGATTGATCCATGACTAATGACAGCCAAAGGTTATCTGAAGTAGATGGTAATGTAGATTTAAGGCCATTTTCATATCAGCTGTGACATTATGAAATGACCAATCAGGCTAGAGGGGTTGAATGGCCTGCTCCTGCTTCAAACTAGTATTGATATATGGAACATCAGCACCTGCAAGGGTCCTTTCAAGCCACAGACCATCCTGCCTTGGAACTGTATTGATGTTCTTTCACTCTTGCCAGGCTGAGATCCTGAAGTTGCCTTCCTAACAGCACTGTGGCTATACCTACATCACAAGGGCTGCAGTGGTTCCAAAAGGCAGCTCACCATCACCTTCTCCAGTGCAGTTTAGAGATTGGCAATAAATGCTGGCCCAGCCTACAACATCCATATCCCATGAGCAAATAAAAAGGCAATTGTGGTGATGTGATGATGCCTGCCATTGACTTTGCGTAAGCTATCGTTCATTTCCTAAGGAGAAGTGATGACCAAGCTGTTGATAACAGCAATTACCTGCTAACATTAGCTCATTCAGTGGAAATGAGAATTAAAAGAATCTAAAGCAATGTTGGAGAGAGATTGATAATAACAGGGAAAGAAACTAATTGAAAGCAATATTGTATGTATCTTGTGTAATCAAATAGATAGATTGCAGCCTAAGTTGTTTTTGTTGAAGGATAAAAAGAAATTATTTTTGCAGATGGAGGTGTCATGATTGCTTGCCTGCAGGATTCTGTTTATCAATGAGACTGAGTTTGATCGACTATGAGTTGCTGACAGGGTCAAATTAGTTTTTAATGATTTCTGGAAGCCAATATTCATGCACCACTCTCAGCAGTGTCAGTCAACAAATACTGCCTTTTGCTAAATATTGGATTTTAATCTGTCCTTGTCAGTGTACAAACGCTTAAACTTCATTAGCAAGCCAATGAAGTACTTTCTTTTAGTATAACCACAGCAGTCAATTTTCACTCAGCAATTTCCCACAAACAAGTGATGTGATAATGAGGACCAGATCCTCGATATTATATGGCGTTAGCTAAGGTGCAAAAGTTAGCCAGGACAAACGACAACAACAGCCAGAAATATTGTCCTTGCAGAAAACCTTTATCCTAACAAATGCCTGAAGGTGGTTCACAGGAGCATAATAAAATCAGGCATGATATTGAGCCATAGATATTAGGTCAGATGTCAAAAAAACTCAAAGGTTATTTTAATGGAGTCACTTAAAGAAGGAAAGGGAGGCAGGGAGCTGGACAGATTTAGGGAGAGGTCCCTGAGCATGGGGACCAAATACCATCCTTGCTTTTATACTCTGTTCCTTGAGCAATAAATGCCAAAATTCCATTTGCTTTTCTTATTACCTGCTGTACTTTTTTTTCTTTATTCATTCACAGGATGAGGGCGTTGCTGGCCAGGCAGCACTTATTGCCCATCCCTAATTGCCCAGAGGGCAGTTAGGAGTCAACCACATTGGTGTGGGTCTGGAGTCACGTGTGGGCCAGACCAGGTAAGGATGGCAGTTTCCTTCCCTAAAAGGCATTAGTATACCTGCTTTCTGTACAAGGACACCCAGCACCCTCTGAACCAAAGCACTCTGAAGTTTCTCTGCATTTAGGTAATAAGTTGTTTTTCTATTCCTCCAACAAATTGGATAACCTCTCCCTTATCCACATTAAATTTCATCTGCTAAATTTTGGCCTATTCACCTAATCTATCCATATCCATTTGTAAATTTCCTTTTTTCTTCATTACAACTTGCCTTCCCACCTATTTTACCATTATCTACAAATTTGAGTATAGTACTTTCTATCTCTATATCCAAGTCGTTAATATAAATTGAAAATAGTTGGGGCCTGAGGACTGAACCCTTTGGCATCCTACTAGTTGCATCTTGCCAACTAGAAAAGGACCCATTTATCTCAATTCTCTGCTTTCTGTTGGTTAACCAACCTTCTATCCAAGCTAATAAACCACCCTTAACACCATTTTATTATTAACCTTTATCAAATACCTTCTAGAAGTCCAGATGTACTACATCGACTGGATCTTCATCATCCATTTTGTTTGTTACATCATCAAAGAACTCCAGTAAATTAGTCAAACATGATTTATCCTTCATAAAACCATGCTGACTCAGAAGGAATTGTATCTTGACTTTCCAAATTCCCAGTTGTTATTACTTCCTAAATAGTAGATTTGAACAATTTCCCAAGAACACAATGTTAAATTAAGTGCTCTGTAGCTTTCTGCCTCCTACCTTTTTGAATAGCAGTGTTATATTAGCATTTTTCCAATCCACTAGAACCTTTCCCACATTCAACAAATTTTGGAATATTACAACTAATGGATCTACTATATCTGCTGCTACTTCCTTTAAAGATGCTAGGATGTAGGGAATCAGGAGCTGTGGACTTGTCTGTCTTCAATCCCAATATTTGTGCAGTACTTTTTACCTCGTGGTGGTGATTGTTCTAAGTTGCTCACTTTCTGTAACCTCTGTATTATCTGTAGGGATGGTACAATGTCCCCCACTGTGAAAACTGAAGTACAATATTGATTCAGTGTCTCTGCCATTTCTGTGTTCCCTATTATTAACTTGCCAATGTCATCCTTCGGGGGATCAACATTCACTTTAGCTACCTTCTTCCATTTTATATACTTACAGAAGTTTGTGCTATCCAAATTTTTATATATTACACTAGTTTTCTTTCATAATTTACAACTGCTCTTTTTATGATTTTTTAGTAACCCTTTGTTGATCTTTAAAAATTTCCAAATCATCCAGCCTGCCATTTGCCTTTGCAATATGGTATGCCTTAGTTTTTGCCTTTATATTATCTTTAACTTCTTTGCTTACCTATGGATGGTTTCTCCCCTCTTACAATCTTTCTTTATTTCGAGAATATATTTAAGTTGGGAGCAATTGAGTATCTCCTTAAACATTTGCCACTGCTCAGCAACTGTCCTACCTCTTAGTTTTCCCACGCAGTCCACTAGCACCAGATCTATCTTCATGCCTATGTAATTACCTTTGTTCAACTCCATTTATTCATTTCTAATGCAAAGTCACTTTCAAATTTCACGTCTATCAAAAGAAATCTGCTGCAAAACATGAACAACTTGCATGTATACAGCACTGTTACCATAGTGAAAAAGTCATAAGATACATTACAGGAGCTATAATTATGCCAAATTTGACCACCAGCATATAAATAAATATTAGGACTGGTGGTCAAAACCTGAGTCAAAGATGTACAGTTTAAATGCCATCCTAAAAGAGGAGAGAGGGAGATCATTGTCTCATCATGGTGCACTGGGACATCATTGTTTTGTCCAATTATGTTGGTTAAGCTTTCTACTTCATACACTCACTAATTATTTAGAGCTAGAGGTGGGTAACTGGTGGCAGGATGCTGATCAGCCATAATCCTACTGAACTAAAACATGC